CCACCAAGGAGCACCACCAGGCAGTTCGCCACCCGGCAGTTCATTACCAAGTAGCCCTCCACCAGGGAGCTCGCCACTAGGTAGTTCGCCACCAAGCAGTTYGTCACCAAGTAGTTCTCCCCTAGGGAGTTCGCCACCAAGTAGCTCATCACCAAGGCACGTCACCACCGGGTCAAACAGCGAGGTACTTAGCCAAAAAATTTATACATCACAAAAAATGGTTACATCATAACCCATCCAAATGAGGAACTTGTAGCTAATGCCAACCCAGAATTGCTTGCTGCAGAGAACTTTAACCATTCAAAGGATGAAGAAATGATTACTGTAAACGAGGGAGAGTTCATTGCTGAGAACACTACTCATCCTGAGGAGGAGCAGATAACACTTTCGGAAGTAATGGAAGAACTCTAAGTGACAAGATCCCTGTATTCATAAATAACAAAGAGAATATGATTACTTGCAAAGGTCCTGTTCTGGTACCTGGCCTGACTCCATTACCAACAGTAGCAATGCTAAATACAGAAGAAGTTGAGGAAACCGATGTTGCTAGTGCCTGCGTTGAAGCTGATGAAGCTAAAGACTGCCCTGCACCTGAGGTAACTGTTTGACGAGACGTGCTTTTCTTTTCCTTTCCGATTTCTGTGATCAAGGGATCCATTTTTGTTCAGTTAGCTGGTCTATTTAGTTCGTAAAAGTTGTGTGTTCGTGTGTCTTTTTGGGTGGGGGTGGTTTGAACTAGTATCTTGTTTTTCTTCAATCTATTTGCAAATATTACGGGTAGGGCTTGAGGTGAAGGAACAGCTTTGTAACTCTTCCCCAACTAATATTTAAGTACTGCAGTAGTGTAGTGATTGATGGGACTATCCCGATTTAAATTTTCTTCTCCCTGTAGCTCGATAAATGAAAAGCTCAACATGTTATCTTGAAAGGAAGTATTATGATTTCCATAGTCTCCTCCCCATCACTTGGGCTCAGTTTAGTAAGAGTACAGATACAAATATGTAGAGTGCATATCATGCTTCTGCCTTCCTAGTTCCCACAGCAGCTAAATGATAAATTTAAGTTACAAATTAAAGCAGGTAACTTATATTTGCCTTCCACAAATATAAACGGGAGTTCTGTATTCTCCACCTTTCCGTGCCACTCAACTTTTACAGAAAACTTTATCAAAAAAAAAAAAAAAAAAAACTAGTTGCAGATAAACCCACTATATATGTAAAAA